ATTTGATGCCTTAAAGTAAGTGGTTCAACTAGTTAATAGGCTAAGATTTTAAATTAAAAATTTCATGTTTGAACTTTAAATTAAATAATTTTTTTAAAATGATATCTCTTCTTATATGGTTTATTATTAGATGTATAAAAATAAATGTTTGATACACTTAAAATTTTGAATGAATAAAAATATTTATATTAAAAAGAATAATTATTTTTTTTTGAAAAGCCAAAGGAAATAATTTTATTAAAAGAGTACAAGGGGTACTCAACCCATAAACAAAGGAAAAGGATTTGTTAGTGAACTAGCACCAACAAATTAGAAATTTTTACATCGTTTTGTTATAAAGCAGTTGCTTGGTTTTTGGCACCAGTCAAGAAAGGAATAAGGCCAGCCTTCTGAGTTTCCACTTATCCAAAGATAGGATTGGTTTTGTATCATTTTGAGCACACAATCTGTAGTCATTTTGCCTTCACCAAAAATTGTAGTATTCCTTGCTAACCAAAGTGACCAGATAATTGCATACCAGACAATATGCCATCCCTTTTTGTTCTTTGCTGCCCATGTGTGTTGGGTGAACAACGCCTTGCAATTGTTGTGTAGAACATATTGGATACCCCAGCATTCAAAACACTGGGTCCAAATTTTATAGGAGAAATCACACTGCAACATTAAATGATTTGCGTCTTCAATTATATTCCCACAAAACATGCACCTTGCATCCAGAGCATCCTTGATGACGTTCCTCTTCAACAGGTTAGCTTTGCTTGGTATACGGTCTTGTAACAGCAGCCACGCAAAAGTGCAAACTTTGTTTGGCACTATTGGGTTCTAACACTGATTTAGACTCTTTGAACCTTCTTCGACTTCACTGGATGTTAGCAACTTGTAAGCAGATCTAACAGAATAATGACCATCTTTTTCATGTATCCAACACCATTTATCCTCCATTATCTTCTTTGGATTGTTTGAGTTTAATATGTGCTGTAGGTAATTCACCTGGCTTTCCTCCCATGTATGTAATTGCCTCCTCCATCTTGGATTCCAGCTCCAAGAATTCCCAATCCAATATCCCATTTGGTGAACTGAACTGCATTTCTTAGTAGACAAAGAAAAAAGTTTGGGGAACAAGTCTTTCAAACTATTATCTCTAGCCCACTTATCATGCCAAAAGGATATATTTCTTCCTTCACCTAATTTAATTTTGAAACTAGTTTTTAGCCGGTCCATTTTCTCAAATAACACTTGATTTATACCACCAATGTCTCTCCACCACTATGACCCTCCCTTACTGCCTTCCCTCATCCAGCTGCTCCAATTGTGTCCCTCCCTATTGTATTTTGCACTCAGGATTTTTTTCCATAACCCCACACTCTCATCTGTAAGTCTACTCCACCATTTCCCTAGTAGAGCTAAATTAAATCTCCTAAGGTCCTTAATGCCTAACCTCCCATCCTTTTTGTTTTTGCAAATTTTCTCCCACCCAACCCAGGCTATTTTTTTTGGTAGCTCACAACCACCCCATAGAAAAGCCCGCCTAATTGAGTCAATCTTCTTAATCACACCCATAGGAATCAAGTAAGCAGACATTAGGAACACGGGAGGACTAGAAAGCACAGAATTAATGCAAACAATCCTACCACCAATAGATAGAAATCTGTTATTCCAACCAGTCAATTTTCTTTCAAAATTTGCCACTTGTGTTGACCATGTGCTCTTTTTCCTCAAAGATGCGCCAACTGGCATGCCCAAGTACAGCAGAGGGAGTTTTCCAGGCTTGCAATGTAGAAAGCATGCAAAATGATTTATCTCTTTTGTATCCACATTGATTCCGATCGAAGTACTTTTGTTGTAGTTGATCTTAAGCCCTGAAGCCAGTTCGAAGGTCCTCATTATGCTTTTGGCTGCTTTGATGTTTTGCTCATTTGCTTCACCAAATAAGATGGTGTCATCGGCAAATTGTAGATGTGAAATGGTGATGTTGCTAGACCCCTCCTGAACTCCATTAAATAGGCTTTTTGAAACAACTGAATTGATAATGCCGTTTAGACCTTCGGCAACAAAGAGAAAAAGGAAGGGGGATAGGGGATCCCCTTGACGAAGACCTTTGCTAACTTTGAACTCCTTTGTGGCACTTCCATTAACCAAAACTGAAACTGTACTAGAGCTGAGGCATTCCTTTATCCATTTTCTCCAAATATCACAAAACCCCATGCGAGACATCATGTAGTCTAGAAAATCCCAGGAGACTTTATCAAAGGCCTTCTCAAAATCAGCTTTAAAAATGAAGCATCTTTTTTTCTTCTACTTGATTTCGTCTATAGTTTCGTTTGCCACTATGACACTATCAACCAACAACCTTTCAGCTATAAATGCTGACTGGTTTTCCCCGATTAAACCCTTAATCACCTTGCTTAGCCTGTTGGCTAGTAGTTTTGAAATGAGTTTGTACATACACCCGATTAAGGAGATCGGTCGGTAGTCTTCAATTCTGATAGGATTTTCCTTTTTTGGGATGAGGACAATAAAAGAGGCATTTGAGCCCCTTACTAGCTTCTCATTTCTTTGAAAATCAACCACAAAATCACAGATTTCCTTCCGCACATCCTCCCACATAGTCTTCAAAAAGCCAAAAGTGAAACCATCAGGACCTGGGGCTTTTGAGTTGTTGCAAGCCCATATTGTTTTTTTTATTTCCTCCTCTGTAAACTGTGAGATTAATGTGGCATTCTGCTCTGTTGATAACCTGTTAAACTCAATACCATCCAACCGTGGTCTCCTCCATTCATCTTCTTTGAACATAAGCTCAAAATGCTCTGCCACCCTTGTTGTAATCCTCAACATCCTGAAGCTAAACACCATTTATTTCCAGGTAGTTAATTTCGTTACGTCGCCATCTTTGTTTGATGCTTTGATGGAAAATCTTGTATTTGCATCACCAGAATTAATCCAGTATAACCTGGATTTCTGTTTTAGCATGCTTTCCTTATCCTGCAAGATTCTCCAAAGATCCATGGTGCCTTGCCTCCGTGTCTCCAATTCATCATTTGAAAGTGTAAAAACTTCCCCTTTGTCATCTAAGGTAGCAATGGTTTCTTTACAATTCTTGATCTTCTTGTCCAACTCACCAAATTTCTCTTTACTCCAGCATTTCAAGAAGGATTTGGTTTCTTTCAATTTTTGTTTCAAGATGTAGCCACCCCAACCCTGAATGTGAGTTGTCTTCCATAATTCAGCAACCTTAGGCTTGAATTCAAGATGTTGGAGCCAAGCATTGAATAAGCGGAATGGTTTGGGGCCCCAATTCTTCACCTCATTTTTCAACAGAACAGGGCAATGGTCTAAGATGTCTCTTTTCAAGCCCCATTGTTTCATGTCTTTTCATTTTAGTAGCCAATCTTCTGATAGCAGGAATCTGTCGAGTCTACTCATTGCATTGCCATTTGGTTGACACCAAGTAAATCTTCTCCCTATCATTGGTAAATCAATCAAACTCGAGACACTAAGGAACTCTTCAAACCCAACCATCTCATTCTGCACTCCTTTGCATCCCTTTCTCTCCTTTTGCGATTTTGTAACGTTGAAATCACCCCCTATGCACCAGTTGCCTTTGTTTTTAGAAATCAAATGGGCTAATTCCTCCCATAGTTTTTTCTTTGCATTGCTATGACAAGGAGAATAAATATTCACAATATAGCATGGCACCCTGTCATTACCCCACCACCCGAATACACCCAAAAAACCAACTCCCTGAAAAGAGCTATTAATCTTGAAAACCTCTTTATTCCATATGCAAATTAGCCCCCCAGATCTACCATTTGACTCTTGGGCAACCCAATCAAAATCATCTGTACCCCAAAGATCTCTACAAATGCTTTTATCTATTTTCTCCATTTTTGTTTCCTGCATCATAAAAAATTCCACCCTTTCTTTTCTTACCAGTTTCCTAACCTCTTTTCTTTTCCACCTACCCCCTATGCCTCTAGTATTATCAAGGATCCTTCGAGGAAGCAGAGGAACGGCATTGCAGGGGAAGGTACTTTCCAATGATCTTACTCTCTTTCAATACAAAAAGAATAATTATTATCAATCTCTTTTTTCCTTTTTTCATTCAATTATTATCAATCACTTGAAAATGATTATCTAATATTTATTGTATTTAA